CGCTTTTCACTTGAATCGCCTCCCCTGTCGGCGAACTCGTCCGGACGACCCCTGATGATGAAACGGACCGCACAGACGCGTCTGAAACATCAACTTTAGCTAGGAAGGACACCCATATTGCCGGGGTTACACGCGCGCATAGTTTGCACGAAAATCGATACATTTTTCTCCTTTAGCAGGATGCGGGCCCGGACTCAACCCAAGTCCGACTCGGGTTCGATTCAGGCTAGATATGGGCTAAGCACGAGCTAATTGACTTAGCTTATATGATTTTGAATTTTAAAATTTAAATTTCAAATTTATCATTTAATCCCCATCAAGCTTTTTCATTTAGGCTGGCTGCCTGAAAGGAAACAAATTAAGTCCCCGCCAATCGCTTGTAAGTAACGGCTCTCGAGCCTGCTCCTTTCATTAATTCGATCCCGCTCTCCCTCTGTGCTCGACAGACCCCCGCTCGCCTTCTTCCCCTCTCTGCACTGCGCCTCTTCCTTCTCTCGCTCGATTCTTTTCTTCGACACTAGAGTCCCCCCCCCGCTCGACTCCCGATCTCCCGCACTGAAGCCACAGACCCCGCCTCCTCTCTTCCTCGAATTGCTCCTTCCCCGCTCGACCCTGCTCGTTTGCTCCTCCCTCTCGCGCGCGACAAAAACATACGCTCGATCCCGTGAGCTCTTCCGCAACGCAGAAGAAGCCTCGCTCACACTCACCTCGGCCTCGTCTCCTTCCTGCGCCGAAAACCCTGCTCCGACGCTCCTCTGCGAACAGGAAGGCTCGCCTCTCTCTCCCTCACGATAAATCCCGCACAGCTGCTTCGATTCTCCTTCGCCCCCGCACTTATTCCTCTCCGGATCGGGGCCATAGCCGCTCGCCTTCCTCATCTCTCATGCTGTACAGCTCCTAACCGAACTCATAGAGGAAGGAAAACCTCTCCGGTACTCCGTTAGCTGCAGGGGGGAAGGCAACAATAATATCACAATACAAATTACATACATACATCGATCTTACTGCTACTTCTGCTCCTGTTCCTGTCAGAAACCATTTATTGAGGTAAATCTGTTTGTTGGAGATAATATATTAAATTTTGTTGAGGTTTTGGGAGTAGGATTTCGAGCAGGTTAACTTGTTCGAGACTCCAGTTATTTGCTCCTTTTGACTACGTTTTTTTTATTTGAGGATTTTGAGTTAATATTTGATGAACTTAATCATACTAGTGATTTCAAGATAAGATTTATGTTATTCCCTTCCAATCCTATTTGACGTCACAAAACTGGTTTCAAGGCGTGATATATTTGAATTATACACCACAACGAAAATCTTGTGCATCTAATGAGCGTACTTCTGAATGACAGTAAATTTTGCATGTTATCTGTTCATTGTTACTTGATTTTAACTGTTGATTATCATTTCTTGAGCACTTTAGAAGAATTCACAGTCTTCTGCAATTGCGTTATTCTAAGATCTATTTTTTTAGCCGCTGCTAATGGTATAAACGCTACAAGGATTGCTTTCTAACACTTCACAATTTAATGCAACCTTCTTGCTTTGAGAACCATCCATTCTTTTACCATTCACGTCAATGTGAAAAGTTGAAAGTTCTTGTTCATGGATCTACATTTGGATGTGTTATAGCTTTTGTTCTTGTGGTGAAACCAAGCACTGTTATCATTGAAACAATCATATGATTTAAACCTTTATATTGAATCATTTTGAGCTATAGGTTGCTGTTCAGAATTGTAAAAATGACTGTTTGGAGTCGTTCAAAACTATAGGTTGTATTTGAAAGTATCATTGTGGGTTGTATTTTTTTTGTTCCGTTTCGTGACTTTTGGGCTGCACTTTGTTAATTTATGTAGTGACTTTTTGAGCTTTATTTTTTTACTCTGAATTGTGGAACATCCGGGCCGATCAAAACACTATTTTGGAACAGATTTAAGCACTCTTCTCGAGAGTCTATTTAATTGCAGTTGTTAAAAAATTTTAAATGTTTTTTAGGTTGATTCACTTGTTATTTCCTCTTTTGATTTTTTAGTTTTGAAAGTGGATCAATCTTTTCTTTTCGTTTGTTTTGGTATTTTTGTTAAATGGTTAAGTCATAAAGATGGGGATTGATGATTTAATTAATTGGAATATATAGAAATCCTCAAATCACCTTAAGCATAAGTTAAAGTGTAGGTTTCTTAGAACTTTAAGTGCACACCATATGTGAGAGTCCATCCACCTAACCCTCAGTGTAAGCTTCCTAGACTTTAGGTGCACACCATGGGTGAGAGTCCATCCACCTAGTCCTCGATTTAGGCTTCATACACTTTAGAAGCACACCCTAGGTGAGAGCCCATCCACCTAGTCCTCGATTTAGGCTTTCTAGAGCTTAAGTGCATACCCTAGGTGAGAGCCCATCCACCTAGTCCTCGATTTAGGCTTTCTAGAGCTTAAGTGCATACCCTAGGTGAGAGCCCATCCACCTAGTCCTCGATTTAGGCTTCATACACTTTAGAAGCACACCCTAGGTGAGAGCCCATCCACCTAGTCCTCGATTTAGGCTTCATACACT